CATTACAGCACTGATATGACGGCTGCTTATGTGTGCTGGGCACTGCATGTACATTACCTCCTTCATCCAGTGAAGCAGGAGGGGTCTCTAGCTCTCTGATAAGAAAGCTCAGAACAGCTAAACCCTTTGCCCAGGGGCACGTGATGAGGAAGTGTGGAACTCCAGACTGAAACTGCCTGTGCTGGGACTCCCAACCCCTGTGCCACTTTGGCCACCCACCAAGTCCCACCCCTTGCCCTCCTTCCTCACAGGGACCTGCGAAGCCCAGGGACCTTCCCTGCCTGCAGCCACATGCACGGGGGAGGCCCAACCTGTGTCCCAAGTCCCTGACTGAGCTGCTGCTCATCCTGGCACCAGCCTGGGATGCGACCCTGACCTCTGAGGTGTGAGAGGAAGTGTGTGAGGGTGGCCACCAACTTGGAGAGTGAACACCAGGGAAAGCAACCCTCCTTTCCCTGCTGGTGCTGTTCTCTTGAGGACATGATGCCTGAACCATTACATCTATCTCAAGACCCAGTGGGTGTGGCTAAGGGTGAGACCCACATGGTTGCAGAGCAGAAGGATGGACGAGTATGCATTCCTAAGGACAGATGGCACCACCTGACAAGCCACCTGCCCACTGCCACCCACACGGGTGGCTCACATCGCCTGCACAGGGCTGCCTGTGACTTGCCCTCAGAGCCGTAACTGGTATGATGCTCCTTCCTTGGGACCTGAGGCTCGCAGCCTGGGTTTGTAAGATGGCAGCCTCCCACTGGAAGAGCATCTGCAGCCCTGGGGCAGACTGTATCCACGAGGGTTGGTGCAGCTTAAGTTTGGGAACTTGGTCTCTAATTAACTGTGGTATAGACTGAGAGAAGGACTCTAACCACAAATCCAGTTAGCCAGTCAATCTGAAGTCTCTTTCAAATATATCCTTAGTAATTGTTTGCCCCTGAGGAGGAAACCCTGAGGGCCTCAGCTTCCGCACCAATGTGACTAGCTACTGGATGAGCTAAAAAATGGATGAGATACACTTACTTAAATGATATATACTCAACCACTGGCACACAGCAGGAACCCAGTGAAGACCTGGCCCACAGGAGGCACTCAGTTAGATTATTCACTAACTGCCACAAGTTGAAACACAACACTGGTGTGTCAGAAGTGTTGTTTCCACCCCCAGGGGCCTTTTGAAAACAAGACTATGAGGGACTTTGTTGTGACTCATCTGTCATGTCTCCAAAGGCTGGTGTCTGCCTCTTGTCATCACAATGACCACAGTCAGCCAGCTGTCTGTCATCCTGTGAGTTGTCTGGCTTTTGGTGAAGGCTTCCAGGCACTGAGCCTCTTACTCTAGAGTCCTCATTGCATCCAAGACCAAACATAGCACAACACCAGACAGCCAAGCAGAAGAGAAAGGGCAAGGATAGAGCCTGAGAACACCTCCTGACCCATCACTTCCTGGCTCTCTGTCACTTTGTCCCTATATCAATTCCTAAAGGTCTGCAAGTAGTAACTGTCACCCACTTAACAGGATTATGGTGACCTTTTTATTTTAAACTAGAGGCCTGGTGTATGAAATTCGTGCACTCCAGGGGGCCCCTCAGCTCAGCCTGTGCCCTCTCACAATCTGGGACCGCTGGCTCCTAACCACTTGCCTGCCTGCCTGCCTGATCACCCCTAACCACTTGCCTGCCTTACTGATTGCCCCACACTGCCTCTGCCTGCCTGCCTGATCACCCCTAACCACTATGCCTGCCTGCATGATCGCCCCTAACCACTCTGCCTGCCTGCCTGATCACCCTTAACCACTTGCCTGCCTGACTGATTGCCCCTAACCACCTCTGCCTGCCTGATCGCCCCTAACCACTCTGTCTGCCTGCCTGATCGCCCCTAATTGCTCATCTGCCTGCCTGATTGCCCCTAACCGCCTCTGCCTCAGCGCCCCCGCCCCCCAGCTTCGTCCAGAAGGAGGTCCAGGAGGTCATTTGGCTATCCGGTCTAATTAGCATATTACACTTTTATTATTATAGATGTTAAGAAGTAGTCTTGAATTTGGAACCCCACAAAACCCATTTAGGAAGACACGTCGCCCATAAACTTCTCCATCAATGCTGGTTAAAGGTGTTAAAGGGGTCACCTTATAAAACAAAAAACAAAACAAAAAACAAACTGGCTGAGAAATATAGCTCATATTTTAGCTATTGCAATGCTTAGTGCTGTTCAAACAGGACTTTTTAAAGATTACTCTATTAAGTAACACGTAATGACAACTATTGCAAACAGGCAAATGAAGAGACCAACAGTCCCAACCTTAGGCAATGGGTACTTGTAACTTGGTATAAAATTTCCAGGGCCTGCATAATTAACTGATTGGAAATGAACCTCCTCTCAGATGGCTCAGGTGAAAGGGAGAGGCTCTGCTAACCAGGTCAGGATTTCATCTGACTCTGATAACCAAAACCCTGATGAAAAAGATGCCAGAAAAGATGCCGGGGGTGGGGGGTGAGGGGGGAGAAAGGGGTGGGGACATGGGACTATTTCATGAACCAAACAGGAATGAGTACATTTTATACATGACTCATTCCCAATGTCTACCTGTAACTAAATTAATAAATAATCTAAGCAGATATTTGTTTATTTACATACCTAAAAAGTTTACATATCCCAATTGGTCAACTGGTCCAAAAGAAGGTTTGAGGGGCTTCTCATTGGGAAAATAGGGAACTGTCTTATATTTAGTCACCTGCTACTGAGGCATATATAGTATTTGCTGAATAATGAGTGCCCATCTAATTAAGAAACACAGCCACATCCAGCATTCAGCTTCGCTATGAGCAAGTCCAATGGAGAGTAAAGTACTGAAAGCCTATTTGGAAGTAGTTTTCAGCTGAAGTAGTGAAGTGTATAGGCTTGCTTAATGTACAACACTCCATGCAGGACTTCTGCTTGCCCAAGAAGACTTCCACTGATTGTAAAAAATCGGTGAGTAAAAAACTTTACTTTTTCCTCTCTGAAGGTGATCAAATATAAGATTAGATTTCATTCAGACTCTTAGTCCTTATGAGGTGGGCCTGCAAAGAAGAAAGGACTGGAGGTCACACTTAGTTAACACAACAAACTAAAGAAAAAAAAATATGATCAAATGCTCCCTAGAGCTCAGGAAGCATAAACATACACTGAGAGCTACATGTGCCTATAAAGTCAATCAATAACCCCAAAATCTGCTCAGCAAAATATTAACCTCCTGATCCTAAGTGGCATTACTAAAAGTTCAGCTTCTTGACACATTTTTTTTTAATTCTACAAATGCCACCACAGAGTTCAAAGAACTGAGGTTACCTCCTAACCTCCTGATCAAAGGCAATTCCCATAAGATGAACTGGGAGGATATCTTAAACATATGGTCATCAATGTTTTACTAGAAGCATCACTCCAAATATTGTTTACTTCTCTGACCTTTAATTTGATACCTAGATAACAACAGCAAGGGCAGAAAGAAAATGTTGGAAAATATGCAACAACACCTGTAACTGGATTTAATCACAATCAAAATCAAAGAAAAACTTAATTTCTCTTCAGCAGTGATCCCAAGTATAAATATGCCTTGACGATTCCTGACCATCCATTCTTCCTGATGACCAGGAAGTATGGCAAAGCAAACATCTAATTCACAGAGCAAAGTATGGTAAAGCAAAGTATGCCATACAACCCTAAAGCTCACCGTCCCAGGGTTTAAGTTCCTCACCTCAGAGATGCTGCAGTACTGAGTGACTCAGGTGGTAGCATTTTCCCACATCTCAATATTATACACATTAGAAGGATTATTTAAGTAGTTCATGCACCACCAACTCCTTAAATGGTCAAAAGTACAGGAATACGGTTGTGTTCTCTAAAATGAATAATCGCAATAGATTGAGAATGTACTTTTTTCCCCTTTAAGTGGGCTTTTCTATATTTAAAGAAAATATAAAACGTGACTATATAAAACTTGTTTCTCACACCAACATCCCGTGGGCTATCTACCCCCCCCCAAAAAAAAAAAAAAAAACAGTTCCCCAGGTGGCAGAGGGTGTGAAATTACACATTCTAAGTAGCCTTTGAAACCAAATCACTGAAACCCTCAAGATAAGGCCTTTGACTGAAACAGAAGCAGTGGGTGCTGTACAATGTAGCTGCACACACAAAAAACCTCCAGGACCCTGGGAATGCAGCCCTGCCTAAGACCCAGGAGAGGACCAGGGCTTCCAACAGACAGGAGTCCAAGAAAAGATGGGCCAAACACCCCTCCCATCTGCAGGATAACCTCTTCCCTCCTGTTAAACAGTTTGCACTTTGTGTTCTACCAACCCTGGACACACACTTCCCTCTGCCCAATCCTCCCTGGCCAGACAAGCAGGCAGGAGGCCCAGTCTTCCCAGGAACCAGGACCTGGAAAACATTAAGCACGAACTTTACCCAGGCAGGTGGAGGTGTGCAGAAGGATAGTCTGGAGGTCTAGAGAAAGGTTTTTTCTGGAAAGGTGGAAAAGGAGCAAAGTTTAAGAGGGGGTGGAAGGGGGGACAGCCCCAGCCAGCAGAGGGAATAGAGGTGACCCAGGGACAAGAAGACCTGCCCACCCCCTGGGAGGATGGGATGTTGGCACTCCTATGAACATGTAACAAGTTCCCCTGGGAGCACGTGGCACCACAGAGCAAGCGCAGATGGTGGGAAAGGAATTCTAAGGGAGAGGATGGAAGGAAGGCAGGTGCATACAAGAAGTTCAGAGGAAAGAGGGTAGATTGCGGGGAGGGGGGAAGAGACGGTGTCCAAAAATTGGCAAGTGGAACTTGAAGGGTTACATTCACGGGGTCCTTGGAGAAAAGTAAGTTAGAGAAAGAACAAGAAGGAGAAGGTCACTGTAGAGCCACCTCTGTTCTCCCCAGCCCCTCACCACTGCTCCCCACACCTGCAGGGACACGGGGAGACACACACACACACACACACACACACACCCTGGCGCCGAGAAGGCTACCCACCTTTGCCAGGGGCGCGTTCCTGCTGGTTGTCAGCTCGCGCTGACTGCCAACCTCCAAAGGGAAAACTGGTGAGCCCGGGGCTCTGCCCATCGCGCGGCCCCTGCCACCCGCGACCTCGGAGGCCGCCCCCGAGCCGGGGCCAGAGCGCACAGGAGGGCTGCCTCCAGGGCTGGCGCCAGCTCGGGGCCTCTGGCGTATGCCATCCAGCAGGCGCACCAGCAGGATGTTGGCAGGCAGCTCGTCCACGCCGCAGCCTACCAGGATGCGGCACTCTGGGCAGCGCAGCTCGTGGCGCGAACACAGGATGCTCTCCAGACAGCGGCGACAGAAGGTATGCTGACACGGCAGCACCTTGGCCGTGGTGTCCAACCGCTCCAGGCACACGGAACACTCTAGCAGGTCCAGCAGTGACGACTCATCCATGTCCTCGCCCACCGCCGCGGCCGTGGCTGTCGCCGGCTGCCAACACCACCGCTCGCCCGGCCTGTCGTCGTCGCCCTCGCTCTGCGCAGCAGCGGCAGCCGCCTTGGACGCGCATAGCCTGGACTCTCCGAGAAGCATGGGGGAGGCGCCGGCGGCGGCCGCGCGCAGCTGTCTAGGTCCCAGGGCCGGAGGCGGGCCCACTGCCGGCAGCGGGCATCAGGATGGCGCCAAGGCGGCCGCCGGGCAGCCGGGCTCCGCCAGAACTGCCTCCACACCGGCTGGTGGCCCGAGGCTGCAGCCGCCGCGGTGCAGAGTGGCACGCCGACCGGCCTGCGTGGCCGAGGCAGGAACTGGAGTTCCGCACCCCGCGAGTCAACTCCGGGTCAATGGAGCCTACCTGTCCTTTGGAACGCGACGGCCGCAGCTAATGGCTACACCATTGCCGCGGCTTGTCCGCCCCGCGCAGTGCTCCAGGGGAGCCGCCGGGACCGTCACGCAGCGGGCTCTGCGCTCCAAAAGGCCTCCTGGGGCCAGAAGCCCCGCGACAGGAAGTGAGGGGAGCTGCCGGTCGGATCCCAGGGGGGCAGCGTGCGCGCCGCTGCTGAGCCGCACTGCCCCCGCGGCGCTCCATGCGCCCTGGGCCCGCCCGCGACTCGCTACCCACAGTGAGTTCAGCCGGACACGTTCTCTTCCTCGACCGCAAGCACGTGCGCGGGGAACGCGCGAGGGTCACGGTCACTGAGGGGCATGGGAAAGGAGATGCCTCGTCCGCTGGACCTCCCTTCGCACAGGCGCACGCTGGCGAGGATTCCTGCCTCCTGGGCTCCCTGGAACTCCGAGCCTGCCCAGCTGCGAGGCTTGACCTTGTCCCCTCCCAAAGTCTTCCCTTCGGCTTTCCGTGAGCCTCGGGCAGGGATGTTTCCTCCCAACGCAGCTGCGAAGGGGAAAGTTTGGTAGGTGTTATCTCGACCGCCTTCGCCAGCGCTGGCGAGCAGCTTGGGGACGCAGCCAACACCGGGCATCCACCTCGACAACTCCCGGAGCTCTCCTGGTCGGTCTCCTTTTCAGATGGCCGCAGCAGTGACAACCCAGGAGCTGTGGGCGTGTGGGTGAGGGGACGCCCCGCAAAGCAGGAAGGGAAGGCGTTTGGGTTGGCTTGGGTGTCCAGGGTCGGTGCCGGCTCCTCCAGGCGGCTGCTGGCTCTCTCCGGAGTCGCGGTCGGAGGCTGGCGCCACTGCCCGCCAGACCCACACCCTCGAGCAGGTCACCGGCCTCCGCGCCTCCCCCACACACCCGCGCGGCTAGCGTAGTGCGGGGGACCCAGCGCCGTCTCCTGAACCCCGCTGCAAAATCTCCTGGGCTGGAGCATAGGAGAGGAAATCTGCGTTCTCCTTCCCCACTCCCCCGCTTCTGCCAGCGTCAGAGAAACGGAAGTACGTAGGGAGGACCCTGAGCATCAGGGAAGTTTGGCGGTGGGCTGCAGACGCTGTCAAGATTCCCTGCAGTGCGCTGCCCCCTAGTGGCCGCTGTGTGCTCATTCGCGGCCCAACACAAACCCTGGTCAATTGGGTGGCCCTACAAAGCCAGGTTGTTGCCAGAGCCAATGTCAAAAGAGGCATTCAGGTCCCGCCTAGCAGTCAGACTAACCTGTGGTTTGTGAAGTTAAGGGAGAAAATAATATTTGCTAAGGCTTAAATGCCAAGAACATGCCTATGAATTATCTTATACTAGAGGCCCAGTGCACAAAATCGTACACCGGCGGGGTTCCTAGGCTGCAATCAGAGCCATCTTCTGCCTGCTTGCCAGTCCCCAGTCCCAACCCAACACCACCCCGGTTCCCCCGTGGCTCCCCGTTGGCCATCCAGCGATCAGAGCCTGTGAGTTGGGTGGAGGGGCCAAGAGGTGGTCAATGCACCTCATAGCGACTAGTCGATCCCAGTCGTTACACCGTTATGGGATAATATATTATATTATCCTTTTATTATATAGGATAATAAAAGGCTAATATACAAATCGAGCAAACCGGGGCCACTGGTTGCTATGATGCACACAGACCCCAGAGGGCAGATGCTCAATGCAGGAGTTGCCCCCTGGTGGTCAGTGCACTCCCACAGGGGGAGCAGCACTCAGCCAGAAGCCAGGCTCACGGCTGGCAAGCACAGCAGTGGGGGCAGGAGCTTCTCTCCCTCGGCAGCAGTGCTAAGGATGTCTGCTTGCAGGGAGAGGGCCTAAGCCATCATTCGGACATCCCCCGAGGGCTCCGGGACTGCGAGAGGGGGCAGGCCAGGCTGAGGGACCCTCCAGAGTGCATAAATTTTGTGCACTGGGCCTCTAGTTTTATATAATCCTCTAAACAGCCCTGTGAGATAATTATTTTAACCTCATTGTACATGTGAGAAAGGTGAACCTTATAGTTATGAAATCATGGAGGCTGAATTTTGTTAGTTTTGGTATCTCCAGAACCTAATGCATAGAAAAGATCACATACCATTAGAATGTGAGATCCCTATAAGCTACATAATTTACACTAATATCTCCAGTGCCTAGGACAGTGCCTGGGCACATAGTAGGCTCTCAATAAATACTTGATGAATTAATGAAAAAGTTCTCAGAATCATCCATCACCTAGTGGTGATTTGAACACTCAAATCTTAGCATCTCAATTCCAGGTCTCCTGAACACATATCAGGATACCAGTTCCTGGAAACTTTGCTACTGATGGCAGCAAGAGACCTTCCCAAGATGCTTTGTGGACATCCCACAGAGTGTAGATTTCTGTATGTATTGTTCACATCAGCACAGGCAACTGTGTGAGACAGAATGCATCACAGCACTGCCTGGCCAGCTGGAACCTGGGAGCAGACTTCCCGAGAGGCCCAGAAAAAGGGAATGAACATCCCAGAGCACAGAAATGCCTTCACATTCTATCTTCACTTATTGACTGGCTCAGGAATAGCAAAGGGAAATTTTCCAAAAGATCTGTTGGCAGAAAAACGACACCAGGTTTCAACCTCAGTTCAGCAGCCTCAGTCCTTGAGTTTTGGATGAGAGAAGAATTCAGAGCCATGACTTCAATTATAAGAGAAATTTATTTAGAAAGTCACAGAGGTAGAAGTGATCCATAGAAGAAATGGGCTCAGGAAACAGTTTACAGAAAAATAAGGGCCTTTGGAGCTTAGGGGAGAGATGGGGTGGGGGGAGAGCACGCCTGGGAGACGAAGGGGGTAGGAAAGACACAGAGTGATCCTTAAAGAGAGCCACACTGGGTCCTCCATCCCCAGGGCTTTTATTGGAGGTCTCAGGGGAGGCTCTCAATAGAATATTCATCAGCTTCCCTGTGTGTCTCCTCAGAGTCCTGGTCTCCACTGACTGGTGGCACCAGGGGAGGGGAGTCATTAGCCATTGCAGCTAGTCCTGATGTCAGCAAACGGGGTGGTTCAGCCTGGTTTTGCTGCTTTTGGGGGTCCTGGAGCTGAAACACAGCTGAGGTCTAGATGTCATCTCCAATGCTTAAAGGAGTGGTCACGCAGGGGCTTGTACTTTTGCACGTTGCTAAGCACCCAGGGTTTTCCACCCTGGTGACCCTCTGCATCTAGCCCATCATTCCTGCTCTGCTCACGCCTAACTGCCTACTAGAGACCCAGAATGCTAAATTCAAAAGCAGGTAGCAGGGACATGGGACACAAGGGGGAGCATGAGGGGAGCCCTCAGACACTGGGAAGGCTGGCAGAGAGCAGGCTACCTATGATGACATGTCCTGGGAGCAACAAAAACCAACTTTAGCTAGGTTTTCAAATCGATGAGGATCAGGACCTCATGCTGAGGGCCAGATTACTGCAGCCCACCCTGTGTGTCTTACTCTGCACTCCTCTATTGATGACATGCTCCTTCCCTCTCTTGCAGTAGCAAGCTCTACTTCCCACTCACGTGATAGGAAACATGGTCAGTGCTACAGAGCCCTGCACCAGGGGCTTTAGCCACTGACATGGGCTCCTCTGACACTGTCACAGGCTGGAAGTTTTAGAACCATATCAACCAAGCTTGGCCCACATGTCACTCTCTGGACCAGTGTGTGCTGGCCACAGGAGCAGGATCATATGAAAACTGCCAGCACACTCAGGAGTCACACAGGAGAAGTGAGAGTTTCCAGAACAGGTGGCATGTGAGGCAGACAGAACCACAGATGCCCCTGCCCTTGTTGGGGGCCCAGAACCACCTCTCTGTCCTCAGTTTCCCTTCCTATTATGTACAACTGGGGCCACAAAAGCAAACACAGAATGGCTGAACTCCACATTTCTCAAACCTTTTGTCATCCCCTGACTTAACCTACTCTCCAGCACAGACAGGCTGGGCAGGGCGATGCTAGGCCATGGAGCATGGTGGGACTGCAGTGAGCTGTGCTATGCCTTGCAAAGGAGTAGGTGCTGCTCAGCCCCGGCCTATCACATGCTGCCTTGAGAAAATGAGGGCCCAGAATTGGCAGACCTTTCTACTTTTCAAGAGAAGTTTGGAGACCTGTTTTTCATGTGAGATTGTCTGATGTTCAACAATTGGCAACCAATTCAGCTCTCAAAAAACACCACTTAAGCCAAATAAAATGAACATGTGGCCAAATTGGCCCACAGGCCACCAGTTTGCAATTTCTGGTTGAAGTAGCCAAGTAAAATGTACTATAGCATAAAGGAATTTAAGGCCATGAACTAAATAGTTGAAGTATTACAGATACAGTTTTATGTTACTCAGTTAAATCTACACATGTTCATTCAATCAATCATATAAGTAAATGATTGAGAAGATCTGGCTTAACAGTCATTCATATGAAGTTTTTTGGAATTCAGCTGACCACAAGCATAATATGAGCCAACATGAGTCATCAGTGTAGTATGGCTGCCTAGAAAAGTAATGAAATCTTAGGATGCATTAATGGAAGTGAAGGAGGGAGATAGGGAAAGAAATTATCTCATTGAGCTTCAATCTTGTAGATTTCATTTGTGAGATTACTTTCAATTCTAGGAGCAAATTTTTTTAAATCTTTATTGTTGAGAGTATTACAGATATTCGCCTCCCCCTCCCCCCCGTATTCTCTCCTTCCACCAGGTTCCCCCCACAAGGCCTTCACCACCCTATTGTCTGTGTCCATAGGCAATGCATATATGCATATAAGATCTTTGGTTAATCTCTTCCTGCCACCTCTTTCCCTCTGAGATTGGTCAGTCTATTCCATGTTTCCATGCCTCTGATTCTATTTTATTCATCAGTTTATTTTCTTCATTAGATTTCTTGTTTATTTTGATTTTTAGATTCAATTATTGATAGATATGTATTTATTACCATTTTATTATTCACATTTTTTATCTTTTTCTTCCTCCTCCTCTTCTTCTTCCTCTTCTTAAAGAATACACTTCAACATTTCATGTAATACTGATTTGATGGTTATGAACTCCTTTAGCTTTTTTTTTTAGCTGGGAAACTCTTTATATGATCCTTAATTCTAAATGATAGCTTTGCTGGGTAGAGTAATCGTGGTTGTAGATCCTTGCTATTTATTGCTTTGAATATTTCTTGCCACTCCCTTCTGGCCTGCAAAGTTTCTGTTGAGAAATGAGTGGACTGTCATATGGGTGCTCCCTTGTAGGTGCTTTTTCTCTTGTGCTTTTAAGATTTGTTGTCTTTAGCCCTTGGCATTTTAATTATGATGTGTCTTAGTGTGGGCCTCTTTGGGTTCCCCTTGTTTAGGACTCTCTGTGCTTCCTGGACTTATAAATCTATTTCTTTCATCAGGTAGGGCAAGTTTTCTGTTATTATTTTTTCAAATAGGTTTTCAACATCTTGTTTTCTTTCCTCTCCTTCTGGCACCCCCATTATGTGAACATTGGTATGTTTGAAGTTATCCCAGAAGCTTCTTAGATGATCTTCATATTTTTGGATTCTTTTTTCTTTTTGCTCTTCTGGTTGGGTGCTTTTTGCTTTCTTCTATCCCAAATCATCGATTCGATTCTCAGAACTCTCTGTTCTACTGTTGAATCCCTGTAAATTATTCTTCATTTCAGTTAGTGTATGCTTAATTTCTGACTGGTCCTTTTTCATGTCTTTGACATTCTCACTAAGATCCTTAAAAGTCTCACTAAGTCCCTTGAAGCTCTCATTAAGATCCTTGAATAACCTTATAACCAGTGTTTTGAACTCTGTACCCGGTAGTTTGTTTGTTTCCATTTCTTTCATTTGTAAATGTTTCTTTGTCTCCGCATTTTGGCTGCTTCCCTGTGTTTGTTTCTGGGTGCTAAGTAGAGCTGTTATGTCTCCTGGAATTGGTAGAGTGGCCTTGTGCAGTAGGTATCCTGTAGGGCCCAGTGGTTCAGTCTCCCCAGTCATCTGAGCTGAGCACTCTAGATACACCCCATTGTGGGCTGTATGCACCGTCATGTTGTAGTTGAGCCTTGATTGCTATTGGCATTAC